GTGGTGTTGTGTGTGTGTGGTGTGTGTGTGTCTGTGTGTGTGTGTGTGTGTGTGTGTGTGTGTGTGTGTGTGTGTGTGTGTGTGTGTGTGTGTGTGGGGTGTGTGTGTCTGTGTGTGTTTTTGTGTGGTGTGTGTGTGTGTGTGTGTGTGTGTCTGTGTGTCTGTGGTGTTGTGGTGTGTGTGTGTGTGTGTGTGGGGTGTGTCGTGTTCCTCCTAACTGAAGTTCTCTCCCCCACTCTACTAGATTAATTTGTAATTTAAGATGGGGATTTTTGTATTCATGGTAATGTTACTACTAGTTGGTAATGTTACTGCTAGTTGGTAATGTTACTACTAGTTGGTAATGTTTCTGCTAGTTGGTAATGTTACTACTAGTTGGTAATGTTATTACTAGTTGGTAATGTTACTACTAGTTGGTAATGTTACTACTAGTTGGTAATGTTTTTATAGTTGGTAATGTTTTCTGCTAGTTGGTATTTTACACTATTTGGTAATTTTCTGTAGTTGGTAATGTTACTACTAGTTTGAAATTTTTACTAGTTGGTAATTTATATAGTTGGTAAGTACTCTAGTTGGTAAGTTACTCTATTGGTAATGTTACTACATTTGGTAATGTTACTATAGTTTGGAAATGTTAAAAATTTGGTAAGGTTATACTAGTTGGTAAGAACTACTAGTTGGAAAATGTTATACTATTGGTAATGTTATAGGGTTGGAAATGTTTCTGTAGTTGGAAATTTTTTCTAGTTGGTAATGTTACTATAGTTGGTAATGTTACTATAGTTGGTAATGTTACTACTTTTGGTAATGTTACTACTTTTTGGTAATGTTTCGTTTTGGGTAATTTTTTCTGCAGTTGGAAATTGTTATATGTTGGTAATGTTACTAAGTTGGTAATGTTATCTATTGGTAATATTACTACTATTTGGTAATTTACATATTTTGGTAATGTTTTGCTAGTTTTTTAAAGTTATACTTTTGTAATGTTTTATAGGGTAATGTTTCTGCTATTTGGAAAATTTTTTTTCTGTAGTTGGAAATTTACTATAGTTTAAAAAGTTTTATATTTGGGAATGTTTCTCTATGGTAATGTTACTACTTTTTGGTAATTTACTATGTTGGTAGTTACTACTATTTGGGAAATTTTTGCTGGGGGAAAATGTTTCTCTATTTGGGTAAAGTTACTACTATTTTTGTAATGTTTTTACTAGTTGGAAATGTTTCGTATTTGGTAATGTTCAATATTGAAAAAGTTTCTGCTTTTGGGTAAAGTTACTCTATTTTGTAATGTTATTACTATTTGGGTAAGTTTCTGCTATTTTGTAATTTTTTCGCTAGTTGGAAAAGTTATACTAGTTTGTTTTTATACTATTGGTAATGTTTTCGTAGTTGGAAAAGTTACTACAGTTGGAAATTTTTTCTGTAGTGGTAAAGTTTACTAGTTGTAATGTTTTATATTGGAAAGTTTTGCTGTTGGTAAAGTTTTGCAGTTGGTAAAGTTACTTACTGTTTTAATGTTATTACTAGGGTAAGATCGTAGTGGTAATGTTATACTATTGGGTAATGTTTCTGCTATTTTGGAAAGTTACTACTTTTTGAAATGTTATTACTAGTTGTAATGTTTCTGCTAGTTGGTAATGTTACTACTGTGGTAATGTTACTACTGTTGGGAAATTTATTACTAGTTGGAAAGTTTCTGTTAGTTGGTAATGTTACAAAAGTTGGAATGTTTTGCTATTTGGGAAATTTTTAAAAATTTGGGGTAATGTTATCTATTTGGCAAGTTACTACTAGTTGGTAATTTACTACTGTTGGTAAGTTTCTGCTAGTTGGTAATGTTATTACTTTGGTAATGTTATACTATTTGGAATGTTACTACTATTGGTAATGTTACTCATTTTGGTAATGTTATAAATTTTGAAATGTTAAAGTTGGTAATTTTTTACTACTATTGGTAATGTTACTAAAGCGGGGAATGTTATTTACATTGGTAATGTTTCTGCTATTGGTAAGTTACAAACTAGTTGGTATTTATTACTAGTTGGAAATGTTAAAATATTTTGTAATGTTATTACTAGTTGGTTTTTTTTACTACAGTTGGTAATGTACTACTAGCGGTAAGTTATTATATTTGGAAAAGTTTCGTTTTTTGGTAATGTTATTTTAAAGTTGGAAATGTTATTATAGTTGGTAATGTTTCTGCTAGGGGGTAATGTTACTATATTGGTAATGATTATTTTGGGTATGTTACTACTATTTTTAAATTTTATTTACGGTGGTAATGTTACTACTAGTTGGTAATGTTATATAGTTGGAAATGTTATTATAGTTGTTAAAGTTACTACTTTTTTGTAATTTTATTTTTTTTGTAAAGTTTCGCTAGTTGGTTTTTTATCTAGTTGGTAATGTTACTACTAGTTGGTAATGTTATTACTATTTGGTAATGTTACTATTTGTTGGTAATTTTTTGCTTTTGGGTAATGTTTCTGCTAGTTGGTAATGTTTCTGCTGGTTGGTAAGGGTTTTCTGCTATTGGAATTTACAAATATTTGGTAATGTTACACATTTGGGTAATTTTACTACTAGTTGGTAATGTTTCTGTATTTGGGTAATTTACTACTAGTTGGTAATGTTATACTATTTGGGCAATGTTATACTAATTGGGGTAATGTTACTATAGTTGGTATTATTACTGTATTGGTTAATGTTATACTAGTTGGTAATGTTACTACATTGGTATTATTACTGCTAGTTGGTAATGTTATCTAGTTGGTAATGTTACTACTAGTTGGTATTATTACTGATTTGGTAATGTTACATAGTTGGTTTATTACTTCTGGGGTATGTTACTACTATTTGGTTTAATGTTACTACTATTTGGGTAGTTATACTATTGGAAATGTTATTTTAATTGGAATGTTACTATATTTTGGTTTATTACTGCAGTTGGTAATGTTACTACAGTTGGTAATGTTACTAAAGTTGGAAAAGTTACTACTAGTTGGTATTATTATGCTAGTGAAATTTTTATACTATTTGGGAATTTTTAAATGCTTGGGGGTAATGTTCACTAGTTGGAAATGTTTAATTTGGTATTTTTAAAACGCTTTTGGTAATGTTACTACTATTGGGTTTTTATTTCTATTTGGTAATGTTATTTACTGTTCCCCCCCTACTTACTCCCATTATATACAAAAAAAAAAGGCCTGGTTAAAAAAGTTCTGTAATAATATATCGAACCCAACTTTATTACTAGCAGATAAAGCAGGTTCGACTATTATTTTTTCGGAACAGTAGAATCATCAAAAGTACTCTTTGTATTTTTGTATTATATTATATCTTTCCCCATATTTTTATTTTATAATTTAAATTTTATATTATTTTTAGGTTGGTTTTACGAATGGTAACCATCTGTAGGGGGGGCAATTGGTGGTTCAGAATTTGACGCCCCGCGTGCCTTCGGGAGGGGAAAGTTGATAGGAAGTAGTTGAGTGAGTCGTAGCCCAGCTTGTCGATACGGGTCTTAAACCCCCAAAGTCCTAGCTTAAACAAAAAACTTTATCCCAAGTCTTGCCTTTCCCATTAGTCGGGTAATTCATGTCACTTATAAAAGAAAAACTATTTCGTTCCCCCTAGTTTTTCAAAAAGGTAGATTATAATTGAAATTATTGTATCTACTCTGTTAAAGAGAAATTTTAAGTAAAATTGGGTTTTTTTTGCTGTAAGGTTTCATTTTTAATTTCTTGTGGTTATTTTTTAAATTTATAACCAAATACCAATGAAGCTAAATGATTGTAATAAAATAAAATAAAAAAAAAAGGAGTTATTTGGGCCCCTTTTGTTACGGTGAAGATTAAGTAGTAACAACCTGTTGGTAATGTTACACTAGTTGGGATGTTACTACTAGTTGGTATATTACTGCTATTTTGGGAATTTTATGTTTTTATTATTTCGCTATTGGTAAGTTATTTCTAGTTGGTATTTTTCTATTGGAATGTTAGACTAGGGTAATGTTTTCTACTAGTTGGCAAGTTACTACTAGTTGGTAATGTTACTATAAATTTTTAAATTTTTTGTAGTTGGTAAGTTACTACAGTTGGTAATGTTTTCTAGTTGGTAAAGTTACTACTAGTTGGCCCTCAAAGGAGGCCCTTGACGTGGTGAGGGGCTCTTTTTCTAGGGAATTGGATCTGTGCTCCAGTTCCTGAATTAGCCCGAAAGCCTTCTATCCCCCCAAGGGGCGTATAATCCCGGGTTAGTGCTTTTCCCCCTTTATTATAGTAATGGTACTACTATTGGTAATGTTCCCTAGTTGGTTTATTACTGAGTTTGGAATGGAACTAGTTTGGGATTTTTCTCTAGTTGTAATGTTAACTTTTTGGGATTTTACTTCTGTTGGAATGTTTTACTAGTTTTAATGTTACTACTAGTTGGTATTTATTTGCAGTTGGGAATGTTACTACTAGTTGGGATTATTACTTTTAGTTGGTAATGTTACTGTTGGTTTATTACTTTAGTGGTAATGTTATACTGTTGGGAAGTTACTTAGTTGGTATTATTACTACAGTTGGTAATGTTATACTAGTTGGTATTAAAACTACTAGTTGGGTAATGTTACACTAGTTTTTATTATACTGTTGTTGGTAAAGTTTCTACGTTTGGAAGTTACCATTTTGGGATTATTTTGCTAGTTGGGAAAAATTACACAGTGGTTTATTATTTATTGGTAATGTTACTATAGTTGGTAATGTTACTCTAGGGATTATTACTCAGTTGGTAATGTTACTGCTGGTAATTTTTTTGGTGGCCCGGCTTTGTCCCCCTTATAACTTATTCTAAACCTGGCACCATATTCTCTCGTAATCTGGGTTACACTTAAACAAGTGCCAAATGCTCCAGTACCCTCGTTACAAATTAATGCCACGGGCACACATGACTGTCCTATAATTAAATTAGTGCCCTGTATTCCATCTGACTGTTGCTGCTGGTGACTGGTGCAGCCATTGAACTGGTGGGGCCGTCACAGAGGACCTACTCCACTGTGATCATGAACGTGGCATACTCATGCACCCTCATCATTCTGGCTGGTGTGGCATACCTGGTGAGGGACTGGACGCAGCTGGCGCTGGCTACAACCATACCATTTCTCGCCTTCTTCTTATTCTGGTGGTACGTCTCTCTTGACTGCTATATACCAGTCTATGATGCTTCACTAAACCTGTTGTTAGATGTTAGGTGGTGGCGTTAAATGATGTTGAATGCAAACTGTAGTGATGTTCAATGTATTTTGATTTTTTCCTTTTAAAATTAAGTTTGTAGATCACACTAAAATAAGGCGTCAGATTAATTCTGACGAGGACACTGGAGAGCTACAGGAAGATCTCGATAAGTTGATGCAGTGGTCGAAGTATCAGATGCAGTTTAATGTAGAGAAATGTAAGGTTCTAGCTTTGAGAAAAGAGATACAGTGCATCAGCAGACCGATTTGGGTATCACAGTCTTGTTAGCCGTAGATGTGAGGAAAAGATTCCAAGACATGATAGGGGTTAACAACATCATCAAAGGAGCCTCGCAACAGCCGGATGCCCAGAAAAAAGGGAGCAATCCCAACCAACCAGATCCAGTGGCAACCAAAAGCATCCAGATGGAATTACCTTGCAAGCTTGGAAGATGGCAAGCAGGTGGTGTGGAACTACACATATGAAGCCACACTGGCTGATACCTATCTTCAGTATAGCTGGGAGGACGGAGGAGCAGGTACCAGGTCATACATATATATATATATATATATATTATATATTATATATATATATTTATTAAGTATAGATAAATATATAGTATATTACACCGGCAGGGTGCTGCCTGAGTCACCCAGGTGGCTGATAGCGAATGGCAGACTGAGTGAAGCAGAGAAAATCATGAGGAAGATGGCCAGAGTCAACGGCAGAACTCTGCCACCTGACTACATGACCAACCTCAGGGTAAGTTACCTGGGGGAGTTACCTGAGGGTTACCTAGGGGAGTTACCTGGGGAATTACCTGAGTGGGTTACCTGGGTAGCTACCTGGGGAGAGTTACCTGGAGAGTTACCAGGGGGAGTTACCTGTGAGAGTTACCTGGGCTGCCTTTGGAGTTGATCTAGTAACTTGCCGGGTAGCGTAGAGGTAGATGAGATATACGGCCGTTGACTTTGTTTGAATAAAGGGGGTTCACAGCGGGCAGTGTGAGGTGTGCCTGAACCAGTCCAGGAGGGGAGCTTGTTGCCGAGAAGGCCGTAGGTCTTGGACTGAGGCCGGGGCATGGCTGCGTATGTCTAACTTGAGGCAGTGCTCTCTGGTGGGCATTCAGGGAAACTAGGCCCACAACAAGGTCGCTCCAAAGGAAGACATGAGAAATGGCAGTAGGCGTACTGTCTACACTGGGGGAATTACCTGGGGAGTTACCTGGGAAGTTACCTGGGTAACAATGGCGATCTGATACGTAATATAACTGTATCAAAGACAATTCACTCAGATCATAACATAATAGAGGTACAGACATGTATGCACAGAGCTACGGACCAGCAAAATGTTAAAAGTCATGAAGGACTCTTTACGAAATTCAATTTCAATAACAAAAACAAACAATGGGATCAAGTTAACCATGTCCTAAATGAAACAAGCTGGGAAGATATCCTAAATAACACGGACCCGAACATTTGCCTTGAGAAAAAGGAATTCTGTGGTTCTTGAGATCTGCTCAAGACACATTCCATTAAGAAAAATAAAGAGAAGATGTAAACTAGAAAGAGAGATACGTTCCCTATACAGACGAAGGCGAAGAGTCACAGAGCTGCTGAGTGGGGTCAATATATCTGAAATACGAAGGGAAGCACTAGTCAATGAAACTGCAAATATCGAACTTAAGGTGAAGGAATCTTATAGGAGACAAGAATCACAGGAAGAACTAAAAGCCATAAAAGAAATTGGAAAAAACAAAAACAAATTACTTCTTCTCTTATACCAAATCTAAGGAAAAACAACATCCAGTATTGGGCCCTTGGTTAGGCGGGGTGGGACATACACAGATGATAGCAAAGAAATGAGTGAGATACTGAAGTCCCAATATGACTCAGTGTTCAGCGAGCCACTGCCCACTCTAAGGGTCGACAATCCAAATGAATTCTTTATGAACGAAACCCAAAATTTGGTCATCCCAAAAATCTAGGATATTATTATAACTCCACAAGATTTTGAAGAGGCAATGAATGACATGCCCATGCACTCTGCCCCAGGCCCAGACTCGTGGAACTCCGTGTTCATCAAGAACTGCAAGAAGCCCCTATTGCGTGCCTTCAGCATATTATGGAGAGGGAGCATGGACACAGGGGTCATCCCACACACACTAAAAACAACAGACATAGCCCCACTCCACAAAGGTGGCAGTAAAGCAATAGCAAAGAACTACAGACCGATAGCACTAACATCCCATATCATAAAAATCTTTGAGAGGGTTCTAAGAAGCAAGATAGCCAACCACCTAGATACCCATCAGTTACACAACCCAGGGCAACACGGGTTTAGAACAGGTCGCTCCTACCTGTCCCAGCTACTGGACCACTATGACAAGGTCTTGGATGCTGTAGAGGATAAACAAAATACAGATGTAATATACACAGACTTTGCAAAAATTTTCGACAAGTGTGACCATGGTGTAATAGCGCACAAAATGCGTGATAAATTAATAACAGGAAAAGTTGGTAGATGGATCTACAACTTCCTGACAAATAGAACACAAAGAGTAATAGTAAACAGAGTAAAGTCTGAGACAGCTACGGTAAAAAGCTCTGTTCCACAAGGCACAGTACTCGCTCCCATTCTATTCCTCATCCCCCCTTGTCTGACATAGAGATGTAAGCCATAGCTCCGTGTCTTCTTTTGCGGATGACACCCGGATCACCATGGCAGTGACCTCCATCGAAGACACCGCGAGACTCCAAGCGGACATCAACCAAATCTTTGAATGAGCCACTCGAAACAATATGAAGTTCAACGAGGAGAAATTTCAACTACTCAGATATGGAAAACTTGAAGAAATTAAAAATGTGTCAGGGTATACCACAAATTCCAACCATACAATAGAGCAGAAAAGTAATGTGAAGGACCTGGGAGTGATAATGTCAGAGGACCTCACTTTCAAAGACCACAACAATGTATCTCCCTCATCAGCTAGGAAAATGATAGGATGGATAATGAGAACTTTCAGAACTAGGGACGCCAAGCTCATGATGATTCTCTTCAAATCGCTTATGCTCTCTAGACTGTACACTCTACTGCTGTACATTAACTGCCCCCTTCAAGGCTGGTGACATTGCAGACCTGGAGAGTGTACAAAGAACTTTCACAGCACACACAAGTGCGATAAGGCACTTAACTACTGGGAACGGTTGAAGGTCCTTGATCTGTATTCCCTCGAACGCAGGCGAGAGAGATACATAATATTCGCTTGGAAGGTCCTGGAGGGATTGGTACCAAACTTGCACACGAAAATCACTCCCTATGGGAGCAAAAGACTCGGCAGGAGATGCAACATTCCACCGATGAAAAGGAGGGGCGCCACGAGTACACTGAGAGACAACACAATAAGTGTCCGGGGTCCAAGATTGTTCAACTGCCTCCCAGCATACATAAGGAAGATTACCAATAGACCCCTGGCTGTCTTCAAGAAGGCACTGGACAGGCACCTAGTCAGTATCTGACCAACCGGGCTGTAGTTCGTACGTCAGCTTGCGTGCGGCCATAAGCAACAGCTTGGTTGATAGACCCTGATCCACCATGAGGCCTGGTCTCAGACCGGGCCGCGGGGGCGTTGACTCCCGAAACCCTCTCCAGGTAAACTCTCCAGGATTTAAATAGCGCAGTTGTACCATCAACTTTATCCTTCTTGGTAACAATGTTCAATTTGTAAAGTTAGCAACACCAAGGACCACCATGAGAGGCCAGAGGATCGAGCCTTCAACACTCATTATTATGAAGGAAACACGGACTTAATTCTTTCATAAGTCTAGTTGTAGATTTAATATAAATCTTATAATAATTTACTCAGAAAATCTAGTTTGTAAAAACACTCATCATATGATTACAAGCATAGATCCTGATGTAAACTTTTTATTAAATGAATTACACGAATCAAACAGTAACTGTAATTACTACACAGCAGACCAAGCAAAGACATTACTCAGTGCAAACAATAACATAACCATCTTTAACTACAATGTCAGATCCTTGAGCAAACATTATGATGACCTCACAGCATTACTCAATTCCCTCCATACCAATAAAATCAAGCATCACACTCACAGAAACCTGGCTTAAGCCAGATATTACAGATGTCTATACCATTCCTGGCTACATGGCCATACACAACTGTAGAACAGACCAGCAAGGTGGAGGAACAGCTATATACTACTCAAATCAACTCTAATGTATCAATAAATCTTGCACAAGGGATGAACATGGAGAATATATCATAGCCAAATTTAAATCAAAAGACCTGCAAAAAACCCTCACAGTTATAAACATCTACAGAGTACCACAGTCAAACATTTATCACTTTAGTGAAAAACTAGGAAACATGATTACTGATGTACACATGAATAAAAACCACCTACTACTAACAGGTGATTTCAACATAAACATACTACACGACCAGGACCCACAAGTAACCGAATTCACAAACACAATGAGTAACTGCCTGTTGCTACCAGCAATATCTAAACCTACAAGAATCTCCAAGACAAGCATCTCCTTAACAGACCACATCTGGACAAACACCATATCCCCTTTAAAATCAGGCATAATCACAGACAACACTACAGACCACTACCCAACCTTTCTTATAACTAATCTGGGCAAACTGCCACGAGACAGCAGTTAACAACTTTATAGCAGCTATGAATAACACTGACTGGCAAAATGAGCCGACATATATACAGATATGAATGAATGTATAAATAATTTTCTAAAAAAAAGCCCAAAGCCTCTAAAACAAACATTGCCTCCCAAAACTAAACAGATCACAGCAAAGACTGAATAATCCCTGGCTAACACCCAGCATCCTCAAATCCATTAACACAAAGCACAAATATGAAAAACAGTATAGAATGGGTTAAATAACTAGAGAACAGTCTAAACGCTACTCGTCTGCACTTACCAGCCTGATAAGAAGATCTAAAAAATTGCATTATGAAAATAGATTACATAACATCAAAGGTGATATGAAAAAAACCTGGAAAACTCTATCTGAAATTCTTGGTACTAAAAAGTTATCCAAAACCAAAACAATTAAACTAAGAAAATCAGATGAACCCCAACTCAGACCAACTGAAACAGCGAACAGAATCAATACTTTCTTTTCCATCACAGGAAAAAATCTAGCGAACAAAATACCAAGCTCAAACACCCGTCCATCAGACTACCTCATAGGTACCTACCCAAATACGCTATTCCTAGCTCCAACCAACCCCATAGAAGTTACGCGCATCATAAACACCCTTAAAAACAAGGCAGGAGACATAAACAACTTGCCTGCTTTTATGTACAAAAAAGCTTCTCAAGTATTGTCACCAATTATTGCAACGCTCTTTAACAAATCCATTGAATCATCAACGTTCCCAACAATCCTCAAAATAGCGAGGGTCACTCCGATCCACAAGGGAGGTGACCAAGCTGACTTGAATAACTATAGACCAATATCTGACTTACCACTGCTCTCTAAAATCTTTGAAAAATTAATTCACAGACGGATCTATTCCTACCTCGTCTCGCACAACATATTAAACCCTTGTCAGTTTGGATTTAGGAATAATAAAAGCACAAATGATGCTATCCTACACTTGCTAGAACTAATATATACCGCACTCGAAAAGAAAGAAGTCCCAATGGGCATTTTCATTGATTTACGTAAACCATACCCCCGGCCGGGATTGAACCCGCGGTCATAGAGTCTCAAAACTCCAGCCCGTCGCGTTAGCCACTAGACCAGCTAGCCACAATAAGATTCATCCAACTAGGTATATTTCTACACCATAGGAAAGTTAGCACAGGCACCTCTGTGACCACAAATGCAAGTTTTTACAGACGAATCTCCAGCTAGCGTGGCCGTGACGAACTCTAGCTCAAGTCCCTTCACTGCCGTCAACATGGCTCTGTCATTACGATTTCTTGAGTCATGTTGACGGCAGTGAAGGGACTTGAGCTAGAGTTCGTCCGGCCACGCTAGCTGGAGATTCGTCTGTAAAAACTTGCATTTGTGGTCACAGAGGTGCCTGTGCTAACCTTCCTATGGTGTAGAAATATACCTAGTTGGATGAATCTTATTGTGGCTAGCTGGTCTAGTGGCTAACGCGACGGGCTGGAGTTTTGAGACTCTATGACCGCGGGTTCAATCCCGGCCGGGGGTATGGTTTATTTGCAATCGTGTCATTACGATTTCTTGAGTCATTTACGTAAAGCTTTCGATACAGTCGACCATGAACTGCTGTACTCCAAACTAACGCACTATGGTATCAGAAGCCACTCCCTCAACTACCTAAAATCATACCTTAGCAATAGAACGCAATATGTGTATGCAAATGGTGCAAATTCTTCCACCCAACCAATCACAGTAGGAGTCCCACAAGGAAGCATCCTTGGACCACTCCTCTTTCTCATCTACATCAATGATCTACCGAATGCATCACAGCTACTCAAACCCATATTATTTGCAGATGACACCACATATGTCTTTTCCCACCCAAACACAGTCATACTAGCAAACACAGTCAGTGCCGAATTGCAGAAAATATCTGCCTGGATGATGACCAATAAACTTACCCTGAACACTGATAAAACCTATTTCATTCAGTTTGGAAACAAAGCTGCAAATGATCAAATAATCATAACGCTAAACGGATCATCAGTCACAAGACTCACAGAGGGAAAATTCATAGGTATCCACCTTGACAGTAGCCTTAAGTTCCAGACACACATACAACAAATCACCAAGAAAATCTCCAAGACTGTAGGCATACTATCAAAGATAAGGTACTACGTTCCACAATCAACTCTCCTGGCACTGTACCATTCACTCATATATCCTTATCTTACATATGGAATTTGTGCATGGGATCAACAACATCCAATCACCTAAGACCTCTAATAACCCAGCAAAAGGCAGCAGTAAGAACGATAACAAATTCCCACTCCCGCCAGCATACTCCACCAATTTTCAAAAGTCTGAATCTGCTTACCATTAAGAACATCCATACTTATCCATGTGCCTACTACGTACACAGAACAATACACACAAATATAAACCCTCATCTCAAACTTCTCCTCACCAACCTTAACAGGACACATGACCACAACACAAGACACAGATCTCTACTTAATATACCTCGTGTCCATATCACACTGTGTAAAAACTCTTTGCACATAAAGGGCCCCAAATTATGGAATTCATTACCTGAAGATATTAAAGTAACTCAGTCTGAAAATCAATTTAAGACTCTTCTCAAAAACCACTGAATCACCCTAGACTAAATGCTAAATACTCCATACACACACACTCACTTATGTACTCCCACATTATAACTTCAACAATTACCTTGAACCTATTATCCATTGTTGACAGGAATATAACTGAATCATTGTTTTCACAAAAAGAATTTTTTGAAATTAGATTCACTTATAATTAATAATCTACTGTACAACTATGAAATAATTAATATCCTACTGTACAACTATGATATAATCCTTAGTGTTAAGTAGTCTGTAAGTCAATAATGTTAAGTTGGCCCATAATACCTAGGCATAACAGAGGCTCTCTTGTATTGCAAACCCACTATTGTAAATATAAAATCTCAATGTATAATTTGCAAAGACATTAAATAAATAAATAAATAAATAATAATAATAATAACAATAATAATAATAAAAGAATAGTAATACTAATAATAATAAAAAGGATAGTAATAATAATAATAATGAATAAAAATATAATAATAATAATAATAATAATAATAATAATAATAATAATAATAATAATAATAATTATAAGAAGAAATGATAATAATATAATAATAATAATAAGAATGATGATAATAATAATGTTACGATGTTAGAGGAAGTACGAGGTGGAGCAGTACCAGAGAGGACGAGAGGGTGTCCACACCAGCGATACTTATGGTGTCTTAGACCTCTTCAAGACACCCAACCTGTGTCGCAAGACACTCATTATCACTTTCATCTGGTGAGTCATCTTCACCCTTGTAAGTCACCTTCACTCTTGTAAGTCACCTTCACCCTTATAAGTCACCTTCACCCTTATAAGTCACCTTCACCCTTATAAGTCACCTTCACCCTTATAAGTCACCTTCACCCTTATAAGTCACCTTCACCCTTATAAGTCACCTTCACCCTTATAAGTCACTTCACCCTTGTAAGTCACCTTCACCCTTATAAGTCACCTTCACCTTGTAAGTCACCTTCACCCTTGTAAGTCATCTTCACCTTTGCATGTCACCTTCACTAATGTTTCAATATAGTTTGACACTAACTCTTCGCTTATTTTCCGGATAATTATTCACCTTGTATTCATTACATTAATTGCGTTACCATCTTCCCACCAAGGCAGGGTGACCCGAAAAAAAAAAACTTTCACCATCATTCACTCCATCACTGTCTTGCCAGAAGGGTGCTTTACACTACAGTTTTTAAACTGCAACATTAACACCCCTCCTTCAGAGTGCAGGCACTGTACTTCCCATCTCCAGAACTCAAGTCCGGCCTGCCGGTTTCCCTGAACCCCTTCATAAATGTTACTTTGCTCACACTCCAACAGCACGTCAGGTATTAAAAACCATTTGTCTCCATTCACTCCTATCAAACATGCTCACGCAATGCCTGCGGGAAAGTCCAAGCCCTCGCACACAAAACCTCCTTTAAACCCCCATCCCTCCAACCTTTCCTAGGCCGACCCCTACTCCGCCTTCTCTCCGCTACAGATTGATACAGTCTCAAAATTATTCTATTTCGTTCCATTCTCTCTACATGTCCGAACCACCTCAGCAACCCCTCCTCAGCCCTCTGGATAATAGTTTTGGCAATTACGCACCTTCTCCTAACTTCCAAACTACGAATTCTCTGCATTATATCCACACCACACATTGCCCTCAGACATGACATCTCCACTGCCTCCAGCCTTCTCCTCGCTACAACATTCATCACCCATGCTTCACACCCATATAAGAGCGTTGGAAAAAACTATACTCTCATACATTCCCCTCTTTGCCTCCAAGGACAAAGTTCTTTGTCTCCACAGACTCCTAAGTGCACCACTCACCCTTTTCCCCTCATCAATTCTATATGATTCACTTCATCTTTCATAGACCCATCTGCTGACACGTCCACTCCCAAATATCTGAATACATTCACCTCCTCCATACTCTCTCCTCGAATCTGATATTCAATTTTTTCATCACCTAATCTTTTTGTTATCCTCATAACCTTATTCTTTCCTATATTCATTTTTAATTTTCTTCTTTTACATACCCTACTAAATTCATCCACCAATCTCTGCAACTTCTCTTCAGAATCTCCCAAGAGCACAGTGTCATCAGCAAAAACAACTGTGACAACTCCCCCTTTATGTGTGATTCTTTATCTTTTAACTCCACGCCTCTTGCCAAGACCCTCGCATTCACTTCTCTTACAACCCCATCTATAAATATATTGAACAACCATGGTGACATCACACATCCTTGTCTAAGGCCTACTTTTACTGGGAAATAATCTCCCTCTTTCCTACATACTCTAACTTGAGCCTCACTATCCTCGTAAAAACTCTTCACTGCTTTCAGTAACCTACCTCCTATTACCATACACCTGCAACATCTGCCACAATGCCCCCCATCCACCCTGTCATACGCCTTTTCCAAAGCCATAAATGCCACAAAAAACCTCTTTAGCCTTATCTAAATATGTTCACTTATATGTTTCACTGTAAACACCTGGTCCACACACCCCCTACCTTTCCTAAAGCCTCCTTGTTCATCTGCTATCCTACTCTTAATTCTTTCAATAATAACTCTACCATACACTTTACAGGTATACTCAACAGACTTATCTCCCTATAATTTTGCACTCTCTTTTTTCCCCTTTGCCTTTATACAAAGGAAACTATGCATGCTATCTGCCAAACCCTAGGTATCTTAACCCTCTTCCATACATTGTTAAATAATTGCACCAAACCACTCCAAAACTATATCCCCACCTGCTTTTAACATTTCTATATTTATTCCATCAATCCCGGCTGCCTTACCCCCTTTCATTCTACCCACTGCCTCACGAACTTCCCCCACACTCACAACTGGCTCTTCCTCACTCCTACAAGATGTTATTCCTCCTTGCCCTATACACGAAATCACAGCTTCCCTATCTTCATCAACATTTATCAATTCCTCAAAATATTCCCTCCATCTTCCTGATACCTCTAACTCTCCACTTAATAACTCTCCTCTCCTATTTTTAACTGTCAAATCCATTTGTTCTCTAGGCTTCCTCAGCTTGTTAATCTCACTCCAAAACTTTTCTTATTTTCAAAAAAATTTGTTGATAACATATATATATATCCACACATATATAAGGAAGAAATCAAGAATGAAACGCAATACGTGTGACCTATCACATAAAAACTACCACAGTGGAAAATAAACAGGAAAAATCTGAGCTCTTTCATGTGCTTACATACACATCTTCAGAGGGGAAAAGGGAAAAAGAGAAAAAGAGAACAAATTTTATGTTACACAGTAATGTAATATTTGAGTGAGAGGCGACGACTCAGTGAGTGGGGCTGCTACACGTAGGTAACCTACTGCTTCACAGTTTCAATAATAAACTGCTTCCGATAAAATAGCAAGTTGGAAATAAGTCGAGCCTCTAAACTGTTTAACAATGTCAGATAATGATATTTAAACAATAAGATAGGGAAAAAATTGTTTGGGTAATTCAAATTTAATATTTTAGGCCATTAACTCAAAAAAAAAGTAAGTATTGATGAGCACTGCAGTAGACTCACTGGTCCACTCCATGAATGTCACTCCATAATCCAACCTCCCACACACATACACTTTCCAAGACATGTATAATAGTTTAAGACAATTTTTTTCTTTTGGCAAAAAAACATTATTTTTGTGAAAAATATTTTTATCTTAAACATCATGAACAATATTCTGGAATATAAAACTGTCAATTTTTTTATGTTAAAACTCAAATTTGAAATATGTTGTGCATGGTTAATAAGAGATTATTCCACAAAATTTTGTTGAATTATTGAGTTACAGAGAAGTAATTCTTTGGTATTAATCCAATCTACACACTGACGTGTATCCCTTGAATGAACACAGCATTGCATTATTGTACAGTAGTTGTTGCTTATTTATGTTGACCAACTCTGGTCTCTAGACTTACCAGTTTGTCCTACATGAAAGCTTTCACAACCTTTACAAGGGAAGATCATGCACAACCCAAAGATTCTTTAGGACAATTTTTAATTATTTTTTTTTTGTATATATAACTGTCATACTTTAAGAAAACTTAAACTTTATACAGAAAACGACAAGTTCTCATGCTTATAATCACGTTAATCTCTGTCTTACTGAATATTTTTTAGCTTAATGAAGCTTTGTCGTTAAACATTCGTTAGTATTGAAGTTGGATGCAATTTCACAGATTTTTCTAAGTTCCCCATCTTAAAAGTCAGGGCTACAAATCGTAAGGGCTCTTAATGTGTGTTTGGTGAATCGAATAGCAACGTATAAATGAACGTAATGAAGTTCAAAATGAGAAGACTTTTGCATGTGCCTGGCGGCTGTGTCTGGGCTACAGGTAACTCGGGGAGTGTGTATCACTAACAGATCAAGCAGTAACTACATAAACTTTGCGTCACACCCTGCGTCACACCCTGCGTCATTGTGGTTAATGTCAGAAGATTCATGAGTTCAGAGACAACTCTCTCTCACAAATATTTAAGATATGTCAAAGCATTTTATCCAGAGTTCCATATTACCGTCATTATGGAAAAATACCTTCTGCTTTATAATTTATATAACTCATGACTACCTTAATTTGCCTCATTTCAACCATATACTGGGAGCTCCAACCCACTCAAAATAACTACTTATAAATACACTACAATGTTTTTATAACAGAATTTATATCTGTAAATTCTGTTTTATTGTTCCGGAGTCAAGAAATTTGTAAATAGTTCATAGACACTGTAATCTGCTTAGCAAACTCAAATGTTGGGGTCTAGTCCTTGGGCCCATTACGGGCCTCAGCAATCCCTTGAGTACCATACGTAAGTGGGGCATGTGGGGCATAACGAAGCTAATTAACTAAACTATCTTCTTGAATACAGTTACCAACACCCTGGCCACTTACCCACGGCTCCACCTCTGGAAGGAATACTTATCTTCCTCCTCCTCACATAATCTTCCAGTAATAATGTGCATTACCCCACCAGGTTCACCAACACCTCAGTATATGTAGGACTCTCCTACTACGCACCGTCCCTGGGAGGGGACGCTTACCTCAACTTCTTCCTGGCTGGTGTGGCAGAGTTACCCACATACCTCTTCTTGTGGCCGTCGATGGAGTACTGGGGCAGGAGATGGACCTTGTGTGTCTCTATGATCGTAGGAGGCAGCGCCTGTGTCGCTACTGTGGTCACACAGAATGGTCAGTGAGAGGGAACTTAGTTATATAGAGAGAGAGTGCCACACTCATAAATTCTGCTGATAATGAGTTACGAAAATCAGCTGATATTACAATATATGATGACTTAATGACTCAATAAGAGCATCTGAAAATTGAGTCACTGCTTCAGTAGTTGTTGGAAATAAATGGTATAAAATACCGACACAATGGCAATATAAACACAAATGCAGTATAATGTGATCCTTTATTGACTACGTTTCGCCCACACAGTGGGCTTTTTCAAGTCACAAACAGAACTACCTGGGGTGGAAGGAAAGCGAGTATTTATAGTCCGGCTGAGGTCAGGTGAAGAATGCTGCATCTGATGATGTACCGAGTTGGGTTGTAGAGTCTAAAAACTTGGGTAGCTTGGAAAGGAGACTGGACAAGTTTGTGAGCAGACCTTCTACAGTGTTCTTATGTGGGATAGCGATGAAGAAGTTTCTTGGCAAGTGGTTCAGCTATGTTATAGAAGCCACTATTCTGGTTGAAGTTGTCGGATATAGAAATAAGTGATGATTCCAGGATTCTTCGGTATTGGGTGTTGTCTTCTGTGGCGATAAGTCTTGAGTTTCTGTAGTTTATCAAGTGGTTTGTGTGAATTACGGTGTTGTACGCATGCATTCCTTGTGTCGTCAGACCTGCTTGCGTTCCTTGAGGAAGAATGCACTATAATTGAACAGGTATTTTCCAAACTCCACTATCCTCGTCACTTCATCAGAGACTGCAGACGGCGAGCACTAAACATCTTCAACACACCCAGAGAAGACACTGCCGAGAAGAGATACATAGTCCTTTCCCACCAACTCCATTGCCAAACATTTTTTCCAACATCTTTGCCAAAACATCATTCCAAGTATCTACCTCCACAACCACGACCATCAAGGACATCACCAGTAGTAGGCAGGACAAGCCTCCATCCTCTGCAGGGGTATACATAATCCCTTGTAATGACTGCAACAAGTTATACGTGGGCGAAACATCAAGGGACCTCCAAACACGTATTTCAGAACACCATACGCAAGCAGGTCTGACGACACAAGGAATGCATGCGTACAACACCGTAATTCACACAACCACTTGATAAACTACAGAAACTCAAGACTTATCGCCACAGAAGACAACACCCAATACCGAAGAATCCTGGAATCCTCACTTATTTCTATATCCGACAACTTCAACCAGAATAGTGGCTTCTATAACATAGCTGAACCACTTGCCAAGAAACTTCTTCATCGCTATCCCCACATAAGAACACTGTAGAAGGTCTGCTCACAAACTTGTCCAGTCTCCTTTCCAAGCTACCCAAGTTTTTAGACTCTACAACCCAACTCGGTACATCATCAGATGCAGCATTCTTCACCTGACCTCAGCCGGACTATAAATACTCGCTTTCCTTCCACCCCAGGTAGTTCTGTTTGTGACTTGAAAAAGCCCACTGTGTGGGCGAAACGTAGTCAATAAAGGATCACATTATACTGCATTTGTGTTTATATTGCCATTCAGTAGTTGTTCTCTTCATTCACTATAACACATTTAATCATCAAGTTGATGAATAAGACTCATGTGCAACACTTGGGTGCTGCACGTGAGTCTTATTCATCCTCCAGGTTCCCCACCAAAGCGTCTTCATCTTCTGTTATGAGCGCTTTCAATACCTTTTATATAGTCATTATGTATACCAGTTTTCTGCTATCAGCCAACATGGGTAACTTTAATGTTTTCAACTTTTCATTATAGCTCAAGTCTAGCAGCCATTTTGTAGCTCTTCTCTAAACATTTTCTAACTTAACTATTTTTTTTCAAACGTGGGCACCATACAACTGCTCCGTATTCCAATTTTGGCCTAATACATGTTACACACAACTTTCATAAAATTTCAGTATCTATATACTTGAAAGCCATTTCATAGTTTGCCAGTGTAGTATACTATTAGTGTCTCACAATTGCATTTATATGATAATCCGGTAACAATTTTTGGCTAATATCAACTCCTAGATTCTTTCTCTATCAGATATTTTCAATATTATGTCACAGCCTATATTTCTCATGTGGCTTGATTTCACTTTCTGCCTAGTCAAGTGTTCAATGTATCCAGATCCTCTTGTAAGGATTTACAGTCATTTTCATTTTTAATTTTGCACAAGATATTTTTGCATCATCTGCAAATAAATTCATATAATTTGTGTCCCTTCTAGTAAATGTCTTATATAAATTAAAAACATTACTGGGGCAAGTACAGATTCTTGTGGCACCCCACTTGTAACGTCCTCTCATACAGACATTTTTCCTCTTTCATCGGGAACTCTGTCGACAGGTTTCTTGAACAATTTTCATAACTGTGTCATAATAACTTAACTAATAGACTATACCTAAACGCAGACCCAAAACCAAATTGTTTACCAGTTAGTGCCTTGTTATTCTATAAATGTTGAAGTCAATTTAATGGCTTTTTAAAATAATTTTACAATAAGAAACAAAACCGGTCTGTAGTTTAAAGAATCTACTCTCACTTTTTTTTAAATGTAGACACAATATGTGGCATCTTCCATCTTTCTACTACTTTCATCTTTGTGAAAATTTGTCTGGGCTGCCTCCAAGTGAGTCGCCTACCCTGGCAAACTCTGTTGACACCGAGCTCTGAGATGGGTACCTCAGCCTCACAAGTGGTTTATAGGACAGATTTTTTCAAAAATTTGATTGGTATTGAAAAGAAACCTCCCCTGCAATCATTTAAAAGGGGGATAACTTATTTGGTGTTGCAGCATATATCCTGATCTTAAAATTCCCTTTAACCCTTTGCTTTAGCCCCCTTGGACTTCCCCTTGGGAACCACGGAAACCCCGGGGGCTTTAATTTCCCTGCAATATTAAATTTCTTTTATTAGTGTCCTGCCTGCACCTCAAAATTCCTATACCCAAGAGGGTATGTACCCCCCTGTATAACTATGCGGGCCTCAGAGGGCAACCTTCAGACACTCTGAGACGCGGTATTAGGGCATACTCTCCTGTAGCACCCCCGACCCTCAGTTAACTAAAACCCACAATCCCCCTAATTCATGGCCAGATCCTACGGAAAAAGGTGAATATCTCGTTTTAAATGATGGGTTAAAGGAAAGGGAACCCTTCTAGGTACATCGGGGTTTTGTCTCTCCCAGTTTTCCCCCAGGTTTTCAGATGTGAAGACACGTGGGGGCGCCGCCTGATTTTTCACGGACCCCCCTTGTCCACCCAAAAGTCTATGAAAGGGACGCTTTCTGTCTTTGTGCCCTTTGCCCCCGGGGGCCATTCAAGTTTTGGGCTGCCAGTTCTCCCTGCTAACTTTCCAATGTTTGCCTACATTTGGGCCTATTACTACCTATTTTTAAAGGTTTTTAGGTTCTACTCTTTCATTTTTCTACAAAATCCCTTTAGTAAACCTAATATTAGTGTTATTACCATAAACCTCCCAAACCCCTTTCCCCTGAAAAAGTAAATCTAAAAATTTAAAATAAGCTTACCAACCCCCAAACCCCGGGAATCCCTTGTTTGGGTTTGGGGGGGTTTTAAAGGGGTCCCCTCGGCTTCAGACGCCCAGACGTCATGCTGGATCTGAGCTGGGGAAAACCATTTGGACCAAAAAAAATTTTCCCACTTCCCCCCCGCCGGGCAAAGGGGAGGCGCTAAGCCCCTAGATCAAGCCCTGCCTCCCGCGGGCCCCCCCAAAGTGGGCCGGGTTTCGAGGGGCCTTCAAAACGGGTCGCCCGGGCCCCTCAGCCGTTAAACCCTTTCGGGTCTGATTTCTCATTCCCCGGTCCCACCGTGGGGAAACCTCGGAGGCAAAACCCTGTTGAGGGGGTTTATGTCTCGACACCTTAATTTCTCACTTTCACCATTCTCACCGCCCCCTTTCTGGGGTGGGTTGACATCCCAGGCCAAGAGGCCAGAAAACCCCCTTGGGCGCCTCGGATTCTCCCACACCGGGTTTTCCCCTTTCACTTACCCATCTCTTATTCCCCTGGGGGTCGGCCCACCATAGAAATTTTCCCAAGGTTGTCAAGTAACCCCTGCGCCACCCCGGGTTCCATTTGTCCAGGATGTTCACCAGTCTTTGTGACTCCTTTTGCAGTTCTTCTTTGATGGGGGGACCATCGGGCCCCCATAATAACCCAGCCCCTTGGAAGACTGACTCAAAATTGCGGGGAAAAGGGCTCAATCCTTCTTCCAAAAGCTGTGATTGGGGGTGAGAGCTTCTTGCTCGTCAATCCCTTTTTGAAACGTAGGTAAGAGGCCTTTTTATTAACCCCTTGCCTTTTCTCAACTAACACTGTCCTCAGTTCATCACGTTTCCCCCCTTCCTCCCTGTGAAAACCCTTCCGAATCCCTTTTGGGACTGTCCCCAAACCATGCGTTCAAAAAGAATCCCCTTCCCCGGGGTTCCCCTGGGAGCTATGAACCCCCACTCGCACTCTTTCTCTTCAGGTTTTTTTCCCCGAAATTCTCCTTTTGGCCCCAAAGATTCCTAAAAAATTTTTAATGGCCCGCCCCTAAAGTTTGTCCCAATTGCCCGAAAATAATAAAATCGGGGGCACGAAATATGGCAGTAAACCTCCTAACAACTTCACGAAAGTCTCTGCCCCGTCATATCTTCTGCCAACCCAAATGCCCGCTCGGTAGTGGCACAGGTAAACAGGCAAAACATATCCCTTTTTGAGGGCCCCCCCAAACGTTCCGGGGTTCTTCAATGTGAAAAGCCCCCTTTAAAACCCCTTTTCCCCTACAGTCTCAAAGGGCCTGTCACTATGAAACCCGCTCCTGAGGCAGCGGTGGTGGCCCTGGGTAGGGGGGGCCCTCCCATCGTACCCCCGCGGGCCCCGTGCAACTTTTTTAGCACCCTTTTGACGGCACTCGACCCTTCATTTCCCAAGGAATTTCCCTGACTTTAGGCAGGGGAGGGTACCCCAAAAACCCCCCTTGAAAGGTCCTCTAAAAAGGGAAATTTGT